AGAGAGAGACAGAGAGACAGAGAGACAGAGAAGCAGGAAGAGGAGGAAGAGAAGGACATATACATGAAACTGAAACCCCCTAATTTATCTTAGCAATCAAAAAGCTAGTTGCTTTTGCCATGTTGCTATCTTGTTAACAACCTGAATCTCCCTAAAATTATGATAACTCAATGACTATGACACTATTATTTTTTGTGTTATTCTTCTGTTTTCTCTCTCTTCTAGGTTTTTTTTGTACAGTATTTCCTTAGTGAGAAGGAATGCTAACTAACTACAAAAATGATTTATAGTCTGGAGTTCATAGGTCCCAAAGTTCACTGAGAGGTCCCACAGGCTTTCAGCTGGCTGAACATTGGCTGGCTATCTTCTTGGGAGCATACAGTTGCACTGAAAAAAACTGAGTTACTGTAGGACAACTTGCTGTCTTATAGACACTTTCCACCCCCTCACTTCCCTTGCTTCCAGTTGCCAAGGGAGGAGACAGGCAGATATGTGCGATCTGGTACATACAGGAACCAAGGTAAAATGTTGTTCTGAGAGCAACTGGTCAACATCCCTGAAGCCAGTTAAACCCTAAGCACAGAAGCTTCCAGTCTCCAGCAGATGGCTTATTGGTCTGTGTTGTTTGTGCAACATCTGCGCATCAATTACAGCAGCCAGAGATTGGAAGCTACAGGGTGGCTTTTCTATTGTAGTTTATATTTCATGTTGGTATGAAATTAGCTTCTTCCACTCCATAATGGAATATTAGGGTTGGTTTTCTTTCCTCTATTAGTGGCTTATCTCGAAGGTTAAGATTCACCAAGGATTTGCATATGACACTATTTTACAACCAAGGAAACAGATGGCTAACTGAAGTTATCTAAAGTCAAACAGGTATAGAATTAGGCTTAGAATTCACAATATTTAGATACCCCAAGGCTGTTTCCAGCCTAGTCCTCTGCTATATAACTCCAAATGTGTACACATATGAACATATATAGATTGCACTTATGTACGACTTTAAATTTTGCCAAGTATGCTGTGAGAAAGTTGATATAAATTTTATTAATCTGAAACTCAGAAAACTTAAGTGGTCATATGGCTAACGTCACAGTCAAGATTCAAGTTTTCATAACGTGACTCCAAAATCAGTGTACTTTCTACTATACTATTACCTTTCTTAGCTTGTCTTAGCTTGGTCTTCTAGTTTATGTCTCACCCGCGACCCACTTTCTAATTTCCTCCATTCCTACCCCCTAAAGTGCACTCTGCTTCCCTATGTGTACAAAGCAAAACAACTCTCGGTTAAAAGTTGTTTTTTATTTGATGTGGTGATGGATCATAAAACCACTATTTCTTCATGAAACTATAGCTGATTCCAACATGTGTCTAAATATTCTACCCTATTCCCACCACTGTTCTGAATACAATCAGAGTGTTTAAAGCAGAAGGCTCTGGAACAAATCCTGCCAAGACTTAAAAAAAACAACACTTTTCCCCAATACTGAATTTAGAAAATTCAAATCGATCTCAATCTCTCTCTCTCTCTCTCTCTCTCTCTCTCTCTCTCTCTCTCTCTCATACACACATACACATTGAGAATTCTTTCCTGCCAGTTCCTAGTCACTCCCTCCCCACCCTCAAGAGAACAACAAAACAAACCCTTTGTCCCCAAACTTCTTTAATTCTCATTTGAATTATTATTTCCATGACACCAAAATTAATCTATGTAAATGACTACATTTTTAATTTTCATCTTAGTAAGCAATTGGATTCTTCAGTTTTTATTCATATGTTTGGCCGAGTATAGACATGGCCTAATGGAATGCTGGAAATGGCGTCTGAACAGGAAATAGAATAATCAGGTTGCTTTTTCTACACTGGCCTTTTAAATGGCTTCCTATTTTGATTTTTCTTGGAAATCAACTCATGTAAGTAGATAATCAATACTGTTTGTATGACCCATACTTAAACTTCATAGTACCATTGAGACCCAAAATGGCTTTTGTCCATGTTGTTGTTATTTCTCATCTCTTTCCTTCTTAAATAGTATATGACATGTACTGTAAATTATATTGCATTTATTAAAATTGTTTTTTTTCAATATCTGAGCATCATCAAAATGGCTATTATCCTTTTTGCTCTGGTTAAAAACTGCAAAGTCATTACAGAAATCAATTTTAAGGAAAAAAGAAAAAAAACCCACCATATTGCTAACATGAAAATTAACAAGCAGAAGCATCAATTGCAGAATCTCATGTCCCTTATTCCTTTCCATCCCTCTCAAAAACCATTTGCTACAAAAAGCTTCAAAATGTTTTGGAAACGTTATCATTCCCACTACCAGTCACCCCAGTGGTAGACTGTTGGCAAAGTGATTAGAGACATGAAGCACGGTGCAGTAAAGTAATTTTTCTTAGGTTACAATGTACAAACCAGTAGGAGATTAGGGAAAGAATCTAGGTGTTTTGGATCCAGTGGTCTCCATTAAGATTCTCCTGAGAATTTCACATTCAGGTACTTGAAATCGCTAGGAGAGCCATAAGAACATTTGGTAACTACTAAAGCAGTCAGTGAAGGCTGTACTATATGTTCTCAGGCAATTTTCAAGGTAAAGTTGCATTGTACATCAAATAATAAGGCAATTAAGACAATAATTTCTTGGCTCATCCATTCTTCTAGAATCTAGATCCATATGCCCTATTTTTGACACCGAAAGACTAAATCTTCCCATCTCCCATTGTAAAACTATCCATTCATTCATCCATCTATCCTTCTTGACATAATTTATGTTGTGAGAATAGTTAATGAAATTACTTTTATTAACATTTTTTCCAGATAACAGATTGGCAAAGTCTTCTCTAATGATTGATATACCAAGTTAATTTACAGGGCCAATACTAGAACTTTCTCAACTAATTATTGGTATTAGAATGTATCAACCAATCAATAATCATTTATTAAGTACCTTCTATGTACTAATTACTGTGCATACAAATACTGTGAACGAAATAATTTCTACTTTGAAGATTTTAACCACGTCTTACTTGTCTTATTATCACCTCCAGCATCAGGCACAGTACTTAAGTAAGCACTTTTTAAATATTTGTTGAATGAATGAATGAACCCTAGCATAATCTGGAAAGAGAGCTAGACTTGGAGCCAGGAGTAGGTTCAAATACCATCTCAAACACTTTCTACCTATATAACGATAGATAAGTTCTTGAAATTTTCAGAGCCTCTATTTACTCATCTGTAAAATGGGGATAATAGTTATAACTACTAATACATAATGCTTTAAGATTAGAAAAGTGTTTTACAAACAATACAGAATTTAATTAATGTATCTTCTTCTATATTACCTCATAGAGTTGTTGAGAAAAGTATCTTGCAAGCTCTAAAGAACTTATTTAATTATTACTCTTACTCTTCTGTCTAGGTTAGGCAATGTTTGCTCATAATAATCATAACTAACATTTATAAAGTGCTTACTATGTGCCAAGCACTGTGCTAAGCACTTTACAGTTATTATCTCATTTGTTCCTCACAACAATCCTGGGAGGTAAGTGCTATTACTATACCCATTTTACAGATGAAGAGACTGAGGCAAACAGAGGTTAAGTAATTTTACCAGGGTCACACAAATAGAAAGTATCTGAGGTCAGTTTGAACTCAGGTCTTCCTGACTCGAGGCCCAGGGCTCTATCTACTGAGGTACCTAGACAGTTGTAACCTTCCCATAAATGACAGAAGCTCACAAAGTCAAACAACTCTTAATTACAGGTTTCATAGAGAATATGATATTCAACAACAGTCATCTCAAATAAAATTAAGGGTTTTTTTAAGAGCTTAAAGTACAGAACATAAAATAATTCAACACTGACCTCTTTCATTTTTTCCAGTTCATTCTGTAAAGCCTGTTTTGCAATCTCAACTTCTATAAGCTGTTGTCTCAGCTTCTCATTTTCATCTTCTGTTGTGGTGCGTTTTTCTTCTACATTTTCCAATTCATGGTGAAGTCTCACTGAAACATCTTTTGCAACCTAAATTAAATTATATTTTCAAAATCACTAAAAGTAATTATATCATGATTAGGGCTGACTAAGTGTTTGCAGCAAATAGAAAAAAAATTCAATACTTGATTTTAGTTTTCAGTATCAAATTTATATGATGAAGGCCTTTCTAGGAAAAGAAGGCAAATATTCTTGGTTAACAGGTTTTAATTATCCTTGGAAATCTGGCTTTGATTTTAGTAGTAAGGGAGAACCAAATGAATATTGGAATTCCTTTAAAAATGCCTTCTTGACTTCCTTCAAAATAATAATAAGTTAACTGTATTTCATTTTTATGCAGTTGGAAAAAAAAAAACCCAGTGCCCCCCCCCACACCATAGAAATCAATCTAATGTGTGATTACTGACTATGACAATATATTTTGTGGTGGGATTTTCAACTCAGATTCCAAAGTGGGGAGGGGGCTACTGTTGCCTGATAATACCTGTTTGATATTTTCCAACATTTCAGTGATGAGATTTTCTCCCTTGGGAAAAGTTTTGAAAAACAGCTCATTTCAGCTGCAGATTAACTGGATGACTTCATTTCTCTCCACTTCTTCAGCTCTTTGGGAAGCACCAAGTGGACTGCATTTAGTTTTGAGAGGGCATGTGAGGAGTTGTAAAAGGGAGGTATGAAGAAAGTTGGGGGAGAAGGAAAGAGTTTGGACTATCTTAGATGGAACATTAGAAATCATTTAGTCCAGTTTCCACATTTTACAGGTGAAGAAACTGTGGGCAAGAGATTTTCCTTAAGGTCACAAAGCTAGTGACAGACTGATCTTGTTCAAGAACTCAAATCTCCTGACTCTTAGTTTCATTATTTCTCCCTATTCCGTATCTTTCAATATGGCCTCCCGACGAAGAAGTTCCCATTCTGTTAATCCTGGGCATTCAACATCCTAATAAAGTTCAGACGCTGAACAGCTCAGAGAGAGGAGATCCCCAGTAAGTCTTGTCATTGCCACTCCTTTGTCAATCTCTAGGAAATGGAAAGGCACCTCTTCTACCTGAGCATGTCTGTTTTTATCTAGAGGATATTACAAAGAGTTCTACCTGGCAAGAAACCCTATATCTGGAACTAATTCTAGATTCCTCTTTTGGTCCTGATTATCTTGCTGCGTACTCCACCCAACCTCTAACCCTCTGCAAAGCCCTGCCCACTCCCCCAACTTCCTTTAAATGCCCCACCCATTAGGCTCTCCAAAGGTTCCTAGCTGCCCAACCCCTATTCTGCACAAACCTTGAGATCTTGTTCCATGCTTCTTAGTAGCTCTCCATCAATTTCCCCCGTCTGCGCATAGCGGAGTCTCTTGCGTTCTGCTTTGCGGAGGCGGTACTGCAGAATTCGGCAGTTTTTGTTGGCTCTTTCCAACTCGTGGCGCATTTCCTGCAGCTGACAGGCATCCTCCTCAAAGAAACTGTCCCTCATCTCATCCATTTCAGTCCTCAGTTCATCAATTTCGTTCTGAGGAGAGAAAAAGAAGGGGGTGGAAGTAGGAAATAGGGAAAGCAGTAAGAGACTGAGTCTACACTCATTTCCCCCTAAAAACCCCACCCTATAACAACTCACCCTCAGTATATAGTAGTGAGAAAGGACTGTCAGGGAAAAGGGGGAAAGTAGTAAATTAGGCCCTCCCTGGTCTTCTTTCGCCCTCTGGCTTTGTTTTCCAGAAAATATGGGACAAATTACAACCATGAAAGAATTAAAGGCCCAGAAGTGGATTCTCGATACAATCTAACGTTATCCAACCCTGCTTTATCATTTCCTTCCAAAACAAACACTTAGGAACTAGGAAAATGCCTAGTTGCTTTACAGGCAATAAAGGGAAGAATTGGCCTTTATATTTGGAATTTGCTTTGCCCTTTCCTTCCTGGATTTCCTTCCTTTCACGTCCAAGCTGCATTAACGGGTTAGAAACATCTCTCCCTTAACCAGACACACCCTATTTCTTTCAGGCCCACACCCTTCCTCTCCCACTTCTCTACTCCCTCACCTTGAGAGTTTCGTTCTCCTCTCGCAGCTTCTCCATTTCCTCTTGCATTTCTTCTTGTTCCTGTAGCTGTTGCTGTTGCTGCGGTGGCGAGGGCGGAGCAGTCGCCTGCATCCCCCCGCCGCTTGGGCTGCCCCCTGCTCCCTGCTGTAGGCCCTCTGCTGCAGCCGCCATTGGGGAGGGGGAAGGGGAGGAAAGAGGCTCCGAGGCGGCTGTGGCGACTGGGGAGCTGTTATTGCTATTGCTGCTGCTCTTGGTTTGCATTTGAGCTGCTGCCGCAGCTGCCGCCGCCCGCTCCTTCTTGAGATGAAACTGGATGAGCTCAGACTGCAGACATCCCTCTTTCCAGTAGCCACCACCGCCCCCAGCAACAACACTCCCGGGGTTTCTACTAGTGGGAACCGGGGTTTTGCCAGTAGAAGAGGAGGAAGAGGAGGATGGTGAAGAGGAGGCCACCTCTCCTCCGCCGCTGCCACCCTTCTGTGGCGTGCGCCCGGCTTTACCTCGCCAGCCTCTGGGCGGCGGCGGCTGCAGAGCGCCCCCCTCCCTTTCCCCAGAGCCTCCTCCTGCTCCTGCTCCTGCTCCTGCTCCTGCTCCTCCCCCTCCGCCTCCCCCTCCTCCTAGTTGAGCCTTCTCCGCTGGTTTGGGGGTCGTAGCTTCCCCATCTCGAGACGGCTCCTCAGCGGGACAGGATCTCCTGTTCCCCACCGTGGTTGGGGTACTGTCTGGGGATGCTTCAGCACCACCTCCTGCTTGGACAGCTCCCAGCGGGGCGCCTTTAAGTGTAGCAGGCGGCGGCTGCTTTTCCCTTGCCCCTCCCCCTCCTTCCCTTCCTTCCCCTCCTCCTCCTCCTCCGCTGCCGCTGCCTCCACCACCACCACCACCACCACCACCACCACCACTACCACCACCACCACTGCCGCCGCCGCTGCCGCCGCCGCCTCCCCGGATGCCAACGGGAGTCACTAGTCGACTGCTATTGGATTTCGCTCCCTGCTGTTGCTGCTGCTGCTGAAGCTGCTGCTGTCGTGCAGAGTTGAGTTTGGTGCCCACCCCTACAGGGGACCTGGCGGCAGTGGCTGTCTGTCGGACTGTACTGTCCCGGGGTCTAGCCGGTGACTGAGCCCTCTGCTGCTTTCTGCTGCTGCCCTCAGGATGAAGGCGAGGCTCTGCGGTGGCGGCGGCAGCAGCAGAGGCAGCCGGGGCAGTGCCCCCGACAGGTAGCTGATTCATGGCCGGCCGCGGATGGTTTATCTAGACTCACATTCCCAAAAGGGATTGAACGACTTTCCTCACTTGGTGGTCCTCCTTCTTAATCATCGCCATAGCCGACTGCCTTATCTTTAAAGATGAGAGAAAAATAGAAGACAAACATGCTTGTCTTGATTGTTACAGGTCAAAGGGGTACTCTCCCTTTGGAGAGATCACTGAGTAAAACATGATAGTACTTGGGAGGTACTTAACATAAATGTGCTTTTCTCCTAATGGAGGAAAATGACAAGTGTCTACTTCCGAGAATAGTCTTGGGAGATGCCAACTTAGCTTTCATTTTAGGGATGTGCTGTCATTATTACCCTTCATACTAATATTAAGACAGAAACTTTCTAGGTAGGGTTCTATTTTGGATGCTATGGTTGCATTCGATATAATTAGACATATAAAGTAGAAAATTATGTGATTATGTAGTGAGGGACTTGGTTTGAAGGAGCTAGGGCAGGAGAAAGAGGAGAAAAGAGAGAAAGAATAGGAGGAAGGGAGGTGAAAGGCGGAGTATAAGGAGGCCCATGAGGGAAGGAAAAGGGAGAGGAGAAAGAAGAGGAGAAAAAAAGTATTACAACTATAACCATGACAAATGGGCAAAACAATTCTAAACCTCTATGTTTTGGTTGATACAAGAATATTTATCCATATCACATGTGACTTTAAAGCACAGTGGAGTCAACACTTGGAGTCATTTGAAAGGGAAGAAAACAGCTTGGTGAAGCAGAAAAAAGCAATCGATTGGGTATCCATCCAGACTTTGGTTCTAGTTCAGGTTCTGCCAATCACAAACTTCATAACCTTGAACAAGATCCTTATCTTCTGTACTTCTTGGTTTTCTCATTAGTAAAATGAGGGAGTTGAACTAAATGATCTGCAAAGTCTCAGGATTTACAACTGGAAGGATCCTCAGAAATCATATACTTCAACTTTCCTGAGGAAACCAAGGCCCAAAGAGTTTGAATGATTCTCCCATAATCACACAGATAATAAGTGGAAAGATTGTGAATTTGAATTTAGTTTTGCTGACTCCAAACTCAGAACTCTTTTCACTATATTGCCTACTGTCTAGCTTTAAAAAAAATCTACAAGATTAAATAATATGGCTTGTCAAAACACTAGGGAATTGTTAATCCCAATTATTTTTAATTTGACTGCTATCTGTAGTGTAGCCATTGTATTTTAAAAACTCAGTCAAGATAAGGCCAACTCATTTAACTTGCAATCCTGATTTTTCCACTGTGTCTCTAAGAGCTGCCACCTTAATTCAGAACACTGTTTTATGAGAAACAGAGTTTCAATATACAGTCTGTCACTGGCCTTTACAGAGTAAACTTTTTTTCAACTTTGTAGGGCCTATCAACTTACATTCCACTAGAATAGGATCAATTCTATACTACAATAATATATAATTGCAATAGCTTACATTTATTAGCATTTTGAGAGGCATCATGAAGTAATATACAGTGGCTAGAGTTCTGGATTTGGAGTCAGGAAGACCTGGATTTAATTCCACCTCTGCCCTTTACTAGATATGACCATGAGCAAATCACTTAACCTCTCTGAGCCTCAGACTATAAATGATAGATGGGCTACAGTCTTTGATCCCCCTGTGAAATCTAAGATTTATAAAACACATTCCTCACAACAACCTTTGAATTAGGTAATAATTTTTATAGGTGAAGAAACTGAGGCACAGTGAAGTTAAGTTACTTCATTTAAAATGAAACTCCAAAACAAATTCAGAAAATTATTGTATCTTACAAGATCAATCCTCTGTCTTCTAGAAAATAAGGCCAGGAGAACTTGTCTATAATGCATTATTATCTCCAGTGACTATAATGGGAAATTTTAGCTCCTTTTGGATCATAAATTAGCACTTATTTTCAGTTTCTTATCCTACACAGAGACTGTCAATGTATCCCTTTTCCCTTTGGGAAATAATAAATAACTCTTTGGGAAGGGTTTATTGCCAGAAATGGTGAACATTCTACATTTTACTGATCTATTGAATCTTTATTTATATTAATAATTTTACCATTTCTATAAATATTTGCATTTGGGTGTACTTGATGTATTTTAAATTTGCATATAAATGAATGTGGGTATGTATTTAAAGTACCAAATCCCAAATGTCTTTCTTTCCTTTCAGTTAATTTCTTTATGTGTGCTGATTCCATGGAAAATTGAAATAAATTTTCTAGGGTTTTCCAAACAAAGGACTATACTTCCAAGAACATTCACTATCCTGAACTAGCTGTATCCTAGAAGAGAATGACTCAGAGCATCACAGAGGAACAGTCCTGAATCAGTTTGGCAAGGTCAGAGTCCATTTTATATTCTCTGTGAAAATTAGATTATGGAATATTCTCCATTGGAAAAGGCCAGTTGGCAATATTGGGGTTACCAGCAATCTTGCGATTCCTCCACCCCCAAGCCCTAAGGGAAGCACCTAAAAATGATAGCAGGAAAAGTGCATGACTTGGCAGAAAGTTCCCAAATATTAACTGCTCCTATTAGAACTGTAGTTTCTGGCTACTCTGGTGACTGCATACAGTTCATATGTTATTCCCTCTAGAATTCCACATATCGTTTCATATATTATTTATCTTTCTCCAATGTTTTAAATATCATTTTTCCTCTGCCAATATTCAGTATTTACTGAATTGAATCCATATTGCACCAGGAATTAGGGGATATCCACTCCCCAAGAAAATGGAGAACAAAGAAAACCCTGAAGAAAGTTGAGTCTCAACTTGCTTCCTTCATCTTCTCCCCCAATTCTATTTATTCACAGGAAATCTGCAAGCCCTCCTGAAATTTCACTGCATCAAAGTCATTGGAAAGGGCCCAACAGACCTGAATCGATTTACAATACCAGTGGGCACTAAGGAGTCGACCCCCGTTTGCTTGTTACTGGCAGGGACCACCTGCGATCCAGGGCACACTTGGCAGGTCACCATTAGACTGCAGTCTGCTCTGCTGCTTTCCGTCCAGAAACAATGTCCTAGCCCTCTCTAAGTCAGCACCACATTCCAGCGATCAGTTGCCATCACGTGGTTGTCAGAAAGTGACACAACGTAGCCTCTCTTTCAAGCATTTCTTATAGAAATCTCCGTCCGAGAAACCAAAAGAACAGGAGAAACAAAATGACTAACAGCTACACTAACAATAACAAAAGCTCCCAATCCTTCCCAAACGCACTGGTTTCAACTGCCCGCTAGGCTGCCTCATCAGGAATCCAGAATTTCGTATTAGAAGTGCTTACTTCACACACAATTGTTCCGACCCGTTTGGAAAGGATACAAGCCTCCAGCGTTAAAAAAAAAAAAAAAATCCAGGAACACTAAGGGAAGGTTTGTAGTGACCCCCTTCTTAAAAAGTGGAGGAAAGTTCAGTTTCGCGGCATAGATCCCTTCCCATGGCCCCTTCCCCACCCGAGCCTCAGAACAATGGCGTTAATGTTAGGCGGCGTGGGTGGTGGCAGCAAACGAGCGATCTAGCAAGCGTTCATTACTCACCCAGGATGCCAGCTGCCCGGCTGCTGTTCCCTAGACGCGTCCACTCGAGGTACCAAGCGGGGCCAGGCTATTCTCAGGAAGTGCAATAGAATTCAGGAGCTGACCTCACCGGGCCTGACTGAAGAGGGAATCACTGACTGAAGAGGGGAGGAAGAAGAAAGGAGAATGCAAAGCAAAAAAGGAGAAAAAAAATGCTCCGGGGAGGCACAACATCTAAAGAAGCCACGCCCAAGGCTGGACCAGCGACATCCATTCCCAGCGCCCCGTCCTCGTTTACTCGCACGTGGCCACAGATAACAAAGCCAATAGAAAAAAGAGGGCTTTGCTCATCGCTCTGTGTGGAGGCAAAATTTTTTTTTTAGTTTAGCCCGCCCAAGGGAGGCTCGATCTTCTCGATCAATTGTTTATTTGCACTTTTCCTAGGAAGACGGACTCGAACCGCTAGTAGGGCTGTGACGTCTTCTGATGCGGCAGCACTGTGCTTGCTAGCAGCAGGGGGGAGTTCTCTTTGTTTGCTCACTTTAATTTTCATACGAGCTTTCCCTCTGTGTTCTCCACTACCCGGACAATTTCCCAAAGAAGATAATGGTTGGCTTTATCCTACCGTCCCACAGACCAAAGATCTCTACAAAGTCCCTGATAAGTAAGGAATGAAAAAAATCAAGAACTATATATCCATAAAAGAAATCGTCTCCCGTTGGGTGTGCCCTTTTCGCATTTCTTTGTCTCTTCATTTCTTAAGTGTCCTCCGCCTCCCCCCTTTTGATACAAGGGACAGCAGCTTAGAAAGGAATCTTCTTTGGGATCCTTTATCCTAATTTTAATATGTGGGAAGAAGAGTCAGGAAACACTTTACACATCAGACTGAGAAAAAAAGGGATTGGTTGGAGACAGTACAGGGCCTTTTGTTTGGCTATTTACATTGGTTCATGTAGTTACAAAGCAGTTTAAACGGTGAATCGTTTTCTTTTTCTTACTTTTTTATGAGAAATTATTATTAAACCTTTTGGTCAAGGAAAAACCTCCTCGTGAACTTGAAGGACTCAAAATTGAAAAGATCATTTCCCTGAAATTTTAATTCTCCTACAGACCATATAATACCTTAGCAGGTAAAATTCTGTAATTAGAAATATTGCCTGGAATAGTGACTAGAGTCCTGGACTGTGAATCAAAGTGGAGAGAACACAGGATTTGGAGTCAGGAAGACCTGAGCTTGAATTCTGACTTACTGGTTATGTGACCCAAGGAAAGTCACTTAATCTCAGTCTTCCTTACTTTCCTCGTGTGTAAAATGGGGATAATAGTACTTACCTCACAGGGTTTTTGTGAGGACCAAATGATAAAACTTCTGTAAAGTGATTTGAAAGCCTTAAAGATTGTTTGTTGTTGAATATTAAAAACATCACTATAGGAAGAGTTTTTCTAAGTACCATGTGCATAGATTGTAATCTAAACTCATTGGCACACTCCTCTTGTAAAGAGTTCAGCTAAATATCTGTAAAATAATAATAACAACAATAACAATGGGTGATAAGGTGCGAGATTATTGCTCAGGTAGTTCCAGCAGTATTTGATACAGAAATTCCATTCTAATCATGTCTGACCCATGACCCCATTTGGGGTTTTCTTGGCAAAGATACTGGAGTGGTTTGCAGTTTCCTTCTCCAGATCATTTTACAGGTGAGGAAACCAAGGCAAATAGGGTTAAGTGACTTGTCCAGGGTCCCACAGCTAGTAAGTGTCTGAGGCTGGGCTTTGAGCCTAGGTCTTCCTGATTCCAGACCGGGGCTTTAACTACTGTGCCACCTAGATGTCATTTTGATAACCATATTTCACTGTAATAGATTTCTTTTGTAATCTTAAATATTTTATTTTGTGTATTTAGAAACATTGTTCTGAACCAGGAGTCATGGGACGAAAAAGGTTAAGAACTTCTCTGGGTACTTTCAGTCTATAAGGGTGTTCCACTTCCATGGCAACACAAATTTCCCTTAATATAGTATCAATAGTTTCAGTAGAATTAGCATATCTTTAAAAATTAATTTATTCACCAAGAATGAACTACTATATATATAACTAAATTAGCAGTTGATGTCACTAAATTCTTCACTTTACAATTTGTTATAAGTATACTTTACACATACCTAGTAGGTTGCCAAGCCTTGCCCATTTACCTACACAAAATCTTTTTCATACATTCCTTTCTCTCTACTCAGTGACCACTGGAATTGAGGCCCTGATTACCTCCCCCTTAGACTATTGCTATATTCTACTAATTGGTCTCCCTGCATTGCCGGTATCTTCTCCAGTTTGTTCTGTACAGAGCTGACAAAGTGATCTTCCTTAAGTGAAAGTTTCATTATATCCCTTTCCCACACTCCTATTCAGTACACTCCAGTGGCTCCCTATTGTCTTTAAGATAAAATATAAATTTCTATTTTTTTTGTCTTTTTAAAGCACTTCACAGCCCTACCCCCAACCTAGTTTTCCAGCATTGTTAAACACTTCTTCCCTTCCTACAATCTACAATACAGACAACTGGCTTTCTTGCTATCCCCCATTCATGATATTCCATCTTCCATCAATGTGCATTTGCACTGACCATCCCCCATGTCTGGAATATTCCCCCTCCACACCACTATTTGTAGATTCTCTTTTTATTTTCTTAAAGCACCACAGCTCAAGCATGACATTGTACATGAAGCCTTTCCTGATTCTCTGATTTACTAGTGCCCTCTCTCCCAAAATGTCTTGCATATAGTTTGTATTTATTGTGTATATACTTATACAAGTTGTTTGCATCAATAGAATGGAAGCTCCTTGAGGGCACTCACTATTTCACTTTTGTCTTTGTATCCCCCCCCCCCCCCCCCCCCGCCCCTGGCTTATTTAGCACAGTGCCTGGCATGTAGGCACTTAATAAATACTTGAATAATTAAGGGAGTAAACCTCAAAGGAGAAGAGGTTGCTATGGTTCTGGCAGAAAAATGGCTCTGGAAGCGGTGAGGAGAAGCAAAGAATATGTTGACTTCCTCAATGGCATTGTCATCACCATCACCACCTCCACCACCACCACCATCATCATCATCCTCATCCTCATCTCTCTCTCTCTTATTTTTAAAGTTTCAGGTCTAAATTCTTATTCTGATCTCTTAAAGTCCCTTAGAATCATATCTTATCCTGCCATCCTACTCTTCCTACTCCACTCCAGTCAGGTTTGTCTTGTCACTGTCTCCACATAAATGCCATGCTCATTCCCTCAGCTCATTCCCCATCCTGAAATATTTTTTGTCACCTCCATCTAAAACCTACCAACCCCAGGTCAATTTCTTATTCTTCTGTGATGAATGCTTCAGTCCATCCCAATACCTTCCTTTTCTGAACTTCTGCTGTAATGTCTGGTTCTCACATTATTTTCAGGGTGTTATTTTTATCTCCTCCAAGTAGATTGTAACCTAATAATACTTTTGTATCCCCCCACCACGGTGCCTAGAATTTGTATTTCTTGCATACTCAGTCAGCATCACTTCCTTGTTTGATTGATTATACTAGGTCCCAACTGCAGAGAGGCATGAAAGAAAAATGTCCTCTGCTTTTACATCTGCTTACTGCTTTTGGAGTGCCAGTGAGCTTGGAGGTGTGCCATTGGCCTCATCTCTACTCTTCTAAATTGACATTCACAACCCCACTTTTCTCTTGCTTGTACCTTAGGTTGCGATAAATGAATCATAGACTCCTTGAGCTGGAAGTAGCATGATGCATCTTTTTATCACTAGGCAGAGTTATACGTATACAATAGTAAATTGCTGTTTGTTTAATCCTTAAAGTTCTCCTATAAGTTCTCTTGCTATTCAAGGATATTCTACAATATCCCTGGCAGTAGGATAGAGGCAGGGGGGAAACTACATATGTGGTTGCACAAAAGATTCAAGGCTTTTGCTGTGAATTTTCAGAAATATCTCCATGATTGTGACATCTAACCTTTCTTGTCACAGGTTATCTTTGCTCTGGATATGATATCTCCATGTTTGGTACCCTCTCCATTTTCTGAACATTCCTCCAGTCAAGCAAGACTCAAGAGTTCAAGAGTCCTTCATGCTGAAAACTTCCATGCTCCAGTGCAACCTCTCTGCTCATGACATCAGAGATGGGAAACTAATGAAGTATACTAGCTAGAGACCTCCTCCTTTTCCTCTCTATAAAACCCTGACCCTTCTCCTAAGGGTTGAGCTGCTATGTTCTGTGGCATGAGAGCCACATTGAATGATGCGGAGTGACAAGAATTGGGTACCATCTGTGTATCAAGTGAGGAAGGTACTTCTCACAAGATCATTTATCCCCTATTTCCTCCTGCTATGGCTCACTGAACATTTCACTCAAGGCCAACAGGCCCTTCAGCTGGTTGAATTATAGATGTATCTATTCCCTGCCAAAGGTATAGTTATGTCTTTGTCTCTCTGACAAAGTGGGAGTAGGAGTTCTTAACCTTTTTTGCATCATGGACCCCTTTGGCATTCTGGTGAAATCTATGGACCTTTATCAGAACAATGTTTTTAATGTAGATACATAAGATTCCAAAATAAACCCATTGTATTGAAATATAATTTAAAAATATTATCAAATTAGTTATTAATCATCAGTTATAAAAATATTTTTGAAAATTCAGAGACTCCAGGTTAAAAGAATTTCTCCTGTAGATTTATTCTTTGACCTGAACCCTTCTACCGATGCCTCTCTTGCTCATGATTCTTTTATCTCAAAATAAGACCTATGCATTCATTGTACAGGTAAAGATGTTTCAAATAAAGAACTTTTGCTCATTGCATTGATGACTGATTTGCTTCTTTTGTGAAACTTCCAAGTCCCAAAATTCAGTTGCAGTGGCCTGGGATAGATAGTCAGCAAAGGCTGTCTCATGAGCTACAGCAATGGAGAATGATGCTTCCCAGAAACTGCTTTGTCTGTATAACATTTTGCTGACATGCAGTGACTCAGATGGAGTCAGTCTTCCAGTCTAGTAAAGTCT